CTTCGCCACTGAAAACAAGGAGTTGAAAGAAGTGCCAAATGTTGTCAAGTATTACGAGGGCCTTAAGAAAGAGCTGCCCTATTATAATGAGGTGAACGGAGGTCTGGCCGAGGCTTTCAAGCAATTTGCTGCCGCCGCTCAGAATAAGTAATTCATATGCAAACCATTTGAATAGGTTTTACAGATGTTTGTAATGTTTTTTAATTTGAAATACGAGAATTATTTTTGAAATAAAAATTAATATTTTACAAAAGACAGATTGAAATCTTATTTTTTGATTTATGAATTATAAATTAAAATTAAAAATGTTTTCATTCATTTAAATATGAATTATAAGAATTGATTGAATGTATGAATCAACAGTATTTTGAAAATGCATATTAAAACCCCTTCTTTCGAGCCAACTGTAAGCGCTATAAATGTACCATGGTTACAATCAAATTTTTCACACTCCCATAAAATGTTCATTACATATAATTCAATAAAACTGTAATACTCAAACAAATTCTTATCGTATTAATGCAGTTTCCGCTATTTATTTAGAAATTATTATTAAATCAATGATAATAATGTTATGATCTATTTCACGAAATTCATTATGAAATGCGTGAATCACTTAAAGGCAATCTATTATTACATTATTAATATTAATACATTAAATAATCTACGATAATAATTTATCAAAGAATTACATGAGGGGTCAATAATTACATAATAAACACTTTGTTTAGGAAACCTTGAACTGCAGTTTATGAAGAACTTATGGATACTTATGTTTGCAAAAAGTTGATATTGTCTCCAATGTCAATATTACTGTTCTTTAATATTCTATTATTTGAACAGAATTAGTGCATACAAACGAAAGGTTTGCGTTATTTTGTTATATTCTGTAGTTTCGGTGCATTCGGTATAAATTCCTGACGTTTCTCGACCTTCAGAGCAATCCTCCAACCGCTATATGAATGCAACCCATTATAAAAATTCATTTAAATTTTCAGTGCACTCACGATAACAACTGATTTCTTACAGAGAAATTCATTCTCGATCCATAATTTCACTGCTCAATATACATAGAGTATAATCTGATTATATAATAATCCACTACTTGTTCACAGACTATATAAAAAGTTCCAATACTTGTAGCATTTGTTACATAACTTATAGTTGAATCAAATTCTTATATTCATATTAAAACAAATTCATAATTATAACAAAATGCCGATTGATCTATACTATGCTACTTTGAGTCCCCCGTGTAGGGCGGTGTTGATGACACTCAGACAACTTAATCTGGACGTCAATGTGATTACCACTGATGTTCATAAAAAGGAAAGTTGGCCACCACAATTTCTTAAGGTATGTCCACAATCTTACTTAACCAGTAAGCATAGTACAGATATTAAAATTATAATAATTATCGCATAAATTATAAATAATTTGTTAATTAGTTGAGTTACCCTCAACATACCGTTCCCACTCTGGTGGACGATGGCTTTCCTTTGGGTGAGAGTCGAGCCATTATGCAGTACTTGGTGTCCAAATACGCGCCAAACAGTGATCTCTACCCAACCCATGACCTGAAGAAGAGGGCACATGTGGACCGACTCCTGTACTACGATATGAGCATTTGGTACGCGATTGTGAACGCTACTGTAAGTCAAATATTATTTAATAATAATGACATATTTGTAGATATTTAAGTATTAGACGCTAATAATTAGAGTAATCATTGATTACTAATCCTCATAATTTATTTTAATAATTCTTATTGATTATCATTAAACAGGTAATGAAAATATTCCGTGGAGTGGAACCAACTGAGAGCGCCCTCAAGAACTTCAAAAAGAACTTCAATGTCTTGAATGACTTCATTGGGAACAACAAATATGTTGCGGGAAATGAGTTGACAATCGCCGACCTCTCATATTTAGCTACCATTTCAACCCTTGCTATCAATGATTACAAAGATTTGGATGAATTCCCAAATGTGAAGAACTGGTTCTTCAGAGTGCAGAAGGAATTGCCGTATTTTGATGACGTGAACGGAAAAGTACCCGAACTCTGGAAACAACACTCCTCTGCTAACAAGTAATTCATCGATGGATACAACAAATAAGACTACAATTTATTATAACGTTTTTATTTTATTAATTAGTTGTTGTAATATTCTGTTAATAATAAATAATACTTACATTAGTATTAAAATCAAAATGTTCCTGTTCAATGCCTATTATTTTATAATTTTGTAGAATTACTTTAAAAAGTTATGTTTGTCTCAAAGTCTCAATATTGATTTTTGAGTGACATTTTAGATATGATAACTAATTATTATACAATTTTCAATGAAATTATATCTATGTACTTTGCAAATGTAATTAACTTACTTTATAGCTTAATATGGATTTAAATTTATAAAACATTTATCAATTCATACGGAATATAAGAATTGAATGAATGTATGGACAGTATTGTAGAAATGCATACAAACGCCTCCTTTCGTCAAAAGTGTGATTAACTGTACTCTCGGTTTAGGACAACATATCACTGCA